CTATGTGCTACAGTTGTCTGACACACGAAAATACTAGCTAACTAGTCAAATAACTTAAGGTTATGAATATAACCCCAGTTCTCTGATGCATGAGTGAGTGTCTCACGTTAGGGAACGCCTCCTGCTTGACCTCGTCAGAAGCTCAAATAACATTACGCCAGCCCTAATTGGCTGGCACTAATGACATCTATGTCAGGAGGGGATAGGACCCTCGTCCTATATAATAGGCTGACATAGTGTCATTCGTCATTCCAAACAAGCTCACCTCTTCCTCGCTTCTATAGCAAGGAGGAAAGTCTGGTGACACACTCATCACATAAACGTGGTTATATTCATAACCTTAAGTTCTCTTTTATAGCATTTGTTTCGTGTCTATGGAGAAAAGAATACTGACTCCCGGATTGTCAGACATGCCTGTAAAGAAGACAACTGTCCCCAGTGGCACTTCACAATGGAGGTGCCATGCTCTGAGAAGAGCCCACACTGAGGACTGAATGTGCCAGAGTTGGAGCCATTACATCCAACCTATAAAATCTAGGAAATGTGTGGGGTGAGGCCCAGCATGCAGCTGCACACACCTCTTTAATGGAAACCCCTTTAAAGGGAGCCCACAAGGTCGCTAGACCCCTGGTGGAATGTGCACCGAGACCAGCAGGAGGCTGTAGACCCTTGCTGGCATAAGCCGGGGCAATAGCCCCTACTATCCAGTAGGAAAGACGCTGTTTGGAAACAGGCTTTCCCACATGAGGTTTTGCCCAAGACACAAATAACTGGTTACCCTGTCTGAACTCTGGGTCTGGTCCAAATAAATTTGTAATGCATGAACCGGACACAGAGTATGCAAACGCCGGTGTTCCTCAGAAGAGAAAGGCGGGGGATAAAAAGTGACCATAACCTTTGTGATAAAGGCCGGTTTAGGCTGCAGACTGACCTTGGCATTCCTGGGGGAAAACTTTATACATGCCTAATGCACAGAAAGTGCATGGGTCTCACCTATACGCTTAGCCGAGGATAAGGCTAGCAATAAGGTGGTCTTCAGGGACAACATTTTCAGCTTTGCTTGTTCCAGTGGCTCAAAAGAGGAACAGGAGAGAGTGTCTAGTACAGTGGGAAGATCCCATGAAGGGGCCAGTGGTCTAGATGTAGGCAATTTATGCTGTGCACCCTTCATGAATCAACATACTAAAGGATGTTGACCTACTGACTTCCCATCAAAGCCAATAAGGCAGGCAGAAATAGCTGCCAAGTACACGATGATGGTTGAGAAGGCCTTACCTTTCTCAATAAGGTCCTGTAAAAATTACAGAATCACTGCTACAGAACACTGAAAAGGCTCACTATTTCACTGGGGTAAATAGCCATAGCCATGGTTAGCTAGTGGGCTTTAGACGATAGAAGGGGTGTAAATTTGCTTGTGCAACTACTGGGCGAAAAAGGGGAGAAAATATTGCTATTTTCCAAGCTAGCATAGATATGAAAAGTAAGGCTACTTTTCAGGAGGTATTGCTACCTATTATGGGCTAATCTGCTAATGTTACCTGTTATCAGGGATTGCTACCTGAATGTATTGTTAGCGCTTATTAACAGAAGTATTGCTACTTCCGTAGGGCAAAGGTATTGCAACTTTAAACCTGGGCCAGTCAGTGAAGAGTATTGCTTTTATTGTTGAGTATTATTCGTGAACTACCAAGCAACCATACAGCTGGGAATTAAGCGCCCGGTGACCGAGTTGTGCACCCGTGTCTGTGGACAGTTTAGCTTAGCAACCAAATAGCACAGTTGTCGACAGGCTTCTGTGAGAAGCGAGAAAAGGTTTTTGAATGACAAATGACACTATGTCAGCCTATTATATAAGAGGAGGGTCCTATCTCCTCCTGACATAGACATCATTAGTGCCAGCCAATTAGGGCTGGCCTAATGTTATTTGAGCTTCTGACGAGGTCAAGCAGGAGGCGTTCCCCATAATGAGACACGAAACGAATGCTATGAAAGAGAACCCCAATCATTACCTAGCTAAACTACATCAATCTTTAACTAGCTACTTACATCTGATAGCTAATGTTAGCTCTCCAGATGACTCTTCGAGACAAGTAGCTTGATTCAGACCAATTGAAGATAATTTAGTGCTCATATTGTTTAATGAACAAATATTCATGAAAACTAGTAAAGAGTGAACATCTGAAGAAGGGTGTTTGGAGAATGGGTGCATCCATTGACAAAGTTGAAAGAAAACTCAAAATGTATCTTTATAAGATCATTTTAATGTTGACTATGTAACTTTTGGTGCTAAACTGTCCTAACTATGCAAAATGGTGTACTGTTGGAGTCCATGTTGTACCAGTGACAATCACAATGCATCAACCAAGCTGCTTGCAGTGTCAACAAGCTATTTTTTTGTTGCCTTCAACGTACAGTACCAACACAGTTTGGAGACTTGCAGTAATATGGCAGAAATTATGTCTCAGGTAATCATCCTCACCAACAGATGAGATGTAAGTGAAGTGGTCCTCCTCGCCTTCCTCTGTGTTGATTAGGTCATTCTTACTCTTTTTGGTCCTTTTCAGCACTGCAAATACAATATTGGAAAAAAATATTAAGCTAATCTGATTTACCTCAGATTCATTCATGAAGTATTTGTTAAAGTTGAATTAGGAATATCCTTTCTCTCTCAATTCCTCTTTCATTCTGCTTGTGGTGAATTCCAGATAACTCTTTCCCACTCAGCCCTGTGTCAGTTTTTATTTATTTCAACATTGAGTGAGTGACGGTAAAATGCAGCGTGAGATGGACAGTAGGATCGGTGCAGTGTCAGCAGTGATGCAGGCATTGTGCACGGACATCCTGAGGGAGCTCCGAGTACAGCTGATGCTCCTTCGCGTCAAAAGGAGCCAGTTGCGGTGGTTCAGGCACCTGATTAGGATGCCTTCCTTTGTAGTTTCTCCAGGCACTGGGAGGACAACCTGGGGTAGACCCAAAACTCACTGGAGGGATTATACATCTCATATGGTCCGGGAACACCTCCACCTCCCGTAGGAGAAACTGGAAGGCGTTGCTGGGGAGAGGGACATCTGGAGTGCCCTGCTTGACCTGCTGCCACCACAACCAACCCCGAATAAGCTGATAATGGATGGATTGGTGGATAATAGATAATCAAAATGACCAGTAGTTGTAACACTACATATAGTATCATGTAGCAATGCAGGGTATGTGTGCTAGGTATAAAGCATCTATTTTGTAAAGATACCATCCTTTTTGCTATAATGAACTATAGTCCTGTCAAATCTCTCAAATCTTCTTCACAGCAGACTGTTGGTGTTTCATAACTCAACACAGTTCAGTTTTGCTGTTGAGAGCTAATAAAAATATCAGGGAGAGTATAAAATTTACAGAGAAGAGCAGAGCTTTAAAATTGTGTGAAGGGTCCTCGTACTCCCACGCCGTCTCTGAACTCCAGTGAGCCTCACTCTTCTGTACTTCATTCTAATCTCATTACCCTTCCACCTATATTCTATTCTATTCACCCTGGCACCCATAATCACTGTGACTGTTACCCTGGGTGAGGCTGCAGATGAGAGGCAGTATGGCCTTGATAAGAGGAGAATGCGTGTGAGCACACACACACGCTGGTGGAAATGATCTGTATCAGCCACATACTGACTTCACTTAGGAAGCTGCCCAGATGGCGGTAGGTCTAACAGTATGCCAGTTACCGATACGGATAAGAATACTATAATCTCCAAACACATAGTGTATTTTAAAATTATATTTAAAATTGTTTTCAAACTTTGGTGCTTTTAAATTGATACATTATTTGTTGTGTTATCTATAACATACACATAGGTAAATGTATTGTATATGGCAGGTATAAGCATACCGTATACATTTTAAATGTGGATATATCCATATATACTACTAAAATACTAAAATGCATGAAAAGAAGGACTAACATTAAAGTGACAATCACAAATAAATATGCTATGAGTACAGGGAAAACGTGATGCAAATTTGCTGACTGTACATGGCAGTAATGCACAGACAGTTGGTAATGGTAATGGTGGTGATGTATCGTAGAACATACTGTAGGTAGTGATGCAGCAATAAAAGAGAAGAGGAAGAAAGACAGCCAGCAACTCTACACAACAGCCATCACAGGCCGCTGTCTTTAGTAACCAGGCGTCATTCAGCCGCTTCAGCTCCACCCACACTCCACCTCTTTGTCCATTTTTAGATTAGCCAGGAGCCAGCGGTGTCACGACTGAGCCGACCACACTGAGCTTTACACCGGTCCTTCAGAAAGCTATGGGTGACGTCACAGAGTTTTTAATACACAGTCTATGGTTATTTCCTATCTTCCTGCCCTTTTGTGCTCTGTGCTCCAAAACCAGTTGAATAAGCCTTGGTCAGAACCTCGGTTAACTAGCTTGCTAATCTTAGAAAAACTAGCTATCTAGCTAGCCAATTTATATTATTCTTTAGCTAGGTAATTACACCTGAAGGCTAATGTTAGCAAAATGTTAGCTAACTAGGTAGCCAATGGACATAAATTGTCAGTGAGCTAGGTAGCTTACGTTTTTGCTAACACTTAAGAATTGACTACATTTATGTCGCATTTATCTTTTAACCTTCTTCAAAATATGGTTGTCTTTTCATTATAGGTGAGCCTAGCACATAGCATATCTGAGTACAGGAAAGGAGGAAGTTTGCTCAACTGTTATTGGAGCACAAAGCAAAAAGGGGCGGGGCACTGTAAAAGTGCCTAGTGGTAATATGTCTAGAAGCTGCTGTGACAAATTTTGCACATCAAACAATAAATAAAAGCCAGTTTACGATTTTCTTTACTTTCCAAATCAACAAAGGACATTAAAAGAAAAGATTTGTGGCTTTAGGCAATCCACAGAGAGGATAAAAATAATAAACCGTGGGACCCGGACAGTCAATATGTGTCCGTCAGTGGCAAACACTCACAGGTTCTAAATGATGTTACTGAGTACTGACGCGTGCCGATTATGTCTGTAGAGTGAAGACAATCATAAAAGATTTTTTTGAAATGGAGTTTGATTTGATAGTGTGGAGCAGAGGGTATTTTGACTTTAATAATTCACATAAACTGAGCTGACCTACCTTCTTATATTTAACCTTGTAAACAGCATAAAGTAACATAGGAAGTGGACATAAACCCCCCGTTTTCTACTTCTGTCGGCTCCTGGTAGAAGGACGATTAATAAACGCAAACAGCGATATGATTAATTTACAGCAACATCACATTGGACAGACAACCAAAACAGCAAAATAAAGTGTCTTAATGACAGAAATATGAGATTCAATGAGGTCGTGGTATATGTCAGGTCCGTCCACTTTGATGCAGACTCAAAGGACACTCGATCGTTGATCACTGACAGAACTCAGCTGTTTGCCTTGTTGGCCACAGGATTTCGACTTCTAATAGCTAAAAAGCAATACAATAATCTTACTGTATCGTAATAAATTGGCTAAGATCTCGGAATTTACTTTTACTGCCAGTCAAATTAGAGGGACTGTTTTCACCCGAAATGATGCAAGGCCAAAGTCCCCAGATGGGTTGCTATCATCTATTGTGAAGATAAGAAATAACCTGCCAGGTTAAAGAAAGAGCACCATATTACAATTCAGCACCCTGTCAGAGGTATACGAGGTATACCCACCAAAATAAAGAGATAGCCTATATGTGAAAATGGTATGGGTTGGACTCAGAGTCAGTTGATTCTGATGATGGTAGTCCTCACCAGAGTTGCTGTGTTTCTTTTTATACCATGCTCCATCCAGAGATTTCTCCTCTGCGTTCTTGTCTTCCTCAGCCAGCATCACCTCCTCTGCAACACAAATACCACACCTGAATTAGTCATTATTAGGTCACATTTGTGTTATCAGTTACAGGAAAGTTTTTCAGTTATTTATTACAGTTAATTATTATTACAGTTTTTATTGCCATGATCAGTGAAGGCTAAGCCCACATTTGTAACCCAGAGTGTGTGCGTGTGTTTCTGACCTGCTTTGCAGATCCACTCCAGGTACCCGGTTAACTCTCTTTCGATTTGCTGTTGTCTGCGGAGCTTCAGGAATTCTTGCCTCTTCTCCACCCGCTCTCTCTCCTTGGCAAACTCACTGTAGAAACCACAAAGAAACCACACACACAGACACACAGACATGTTTATTGGATCTGACAAGTCAACACGCAGACCCTGGAGCACTCCACTGTTGACAGGTATATAGCAGGCTGACTTCCAGCAGGTAAGACAGAGTCAGTGTCCTGTCACACTGCGGAACAACTGAACCATCAGCAGCAGGGTGGTCTCTTGCTCAGACAACAAGCTAGTACATGTCTACATGGAACAAGGCACTCTGTTGTCCTTTCTCTCAACAATGACCATTGAGGTGCACTGATATGGAGCAAGACTCATGTCTGTAATGAAAATCAATAACAAATTTGCAGTTAAACACCAATGACATGTGACCTCACTTGAACATTGTCCTTTTGACTAATGTAATAGTGTGACAGAAATAACTATTGTCAGTTGAAAGTAGCTAAAAGCTTGCCGGGAAAGTTGCTAGATGGTGTCACATGCTGATTTGCATATGAGTAACATTATCACTTAACATAAACATTTGCATAAACAAATAAAAGATTTGGGTCAAACTAAACTTAACTAACTTGCTTTATCATCCGTTTTCATTATTACACAAGTTGCTATCGTGTCATTTATATGCATCTAAATCTACCTGTAGTTTCAACTGTGCAACTGACATGTCATGAATACAGAGCATCCGCGCATTAGAATGAACTAACCCTGTAACTCCGGATTTTTTTTGAAAAAAATAAAACCAAGTTTACCGTCAGGTTATGCCCTTTAGAACAACTGCAAAGTAAAAGTAGAAAGATTAGTGGAAGGAACATCCGATACTGGCATCAACAACTCTACTTTGGACTTTATAGCCAAGACTAGAGACTGACTTGTGACTCAAGACATGGATCTTATTTTGAGTAGTTTTGGTAGAGATTAGTAATAGATAGTTGGTAGAGATATTATATCAATATAAATATGAATATGTTATTGTTACTGATAGGAAAGGGTGAAAGTAAGAAAATAATAAACCAGAATGACAATGGTTTGTGTCTGTTATGAGGAAAACAGACCAGGCCAGCCGACAGAATATATAGACAGAGAGAACAACAGTGAATGTGTATGGCAGTGCTTTGTTTACAATCAGGATATGCACATACAGTACAGTACAGTACAATAAAGTATATCGCCCATTTTATACTTATCTATATCCATACAGGATTAATCAAATGAAACACTGATTTTTTGTGAGAATATCAATTGTTATCCTTTTTATAGCCAACTTAAAAAATATTTGTACTAATATTACAAAATGTTATAATACTCATTTTTAAAGCTGATAACTTTATCTCCATTGCCATTGTATTTCTTTGCCAACATAAGGGTTCGGGTTATGTCATCCCAATAAGGCAGTTTTCAATTTAAATGAGCTGGGAAAGGAGATATGTGAGAGATGAGGCAGAGAGGGGGGGGTGGAATAAGAAAGGAAAAAGGAGGTGGAGAGAGTCAGCAAGACCAATAAAAAAAGAGACAGAGATAGAAGAAGAAGAGAGAGGAAGACAGACTGGTGAAATAACAGAGCGAGGGATCTCCAGTCCACCCCCACCGCTCAGTGATTGGTGTGTCTCCCACACAGTGGAGGGGGAAGCTCTATTCTGCATTGCAGTGGCTGTCTGCCTGCCTTCCTGAGGGTGTGTGTGCGTGTGTGTTTGTATATGTGCCTGCCAATGTGTCTAAATCTAATTTTGTGGCTACACATCTTTCCCTCTATAATGTGTGTGCAGTGCATCCATGGGTTGGCTGGTTGAGTATACAGTGCGTGTGTGTGTATACAGGGAGAGACTAGGATTTCCCAGTGTTGTAGCAGCTTTCGGCCACACTTTCACACTGTCTCACACACATACACATTGATACATATGTCAGCATGAGCACAAACATAAACATTGCACAAAGAGTCGGATCCTCACTAAATTAGATAATTACAAGCTCCCATACACATACAGTACGCACATTTTCTCTTCCAGAAACAGTCAGACCAATTCAAATATGCATATATATAGAAACTGCTGATGGAAGCTACAGTATCACCACCAAACAACAGCATTCAAAATGCACTGTAATGCATGATGTGTTTATTCTTCCACTATGTATGTATTGCATTTAATGCTGTGACATACTATGGGCCCTATTTTTAATCGCACAAGCTCATTGACTGTGTGGGTGTCTCCACATGCTATTTTAGTTCATGTAGCAGCAGCGCAAAGTTCAAGAAAAGCTGTGAGATGATGAATTTAGATCAGAGGGCGTGGCAATTAATAAATATGCTGTCAGCTAGTCACATCACTGATCTCATCACTCTGAAGCAGCAGGGCCAATTGCAGTGACGCGTGACGATAACAACTCCACAAATGAACAATTGGCTTCTCCTGAAGTTGTTGTCTGGATGGTGCAGAGCAGCACTACGGGAGCGCAGCACCACAAATTTGCAACCAGAGATACACAGAGTGAGTTTCTTCAACAGTTAATTAGTACGGTGATGAAATAAAATAAATTGGTGAAGCAGTTTATATGATTAGCACAACGCTATTAATTCATAATTCTACTACGTTGCAAATGGTTGCATCATATCTTAAAATGTGACAGAGCAGCTTTTGCTTAAAAATACATTTCATCAATAAAACATTACCTTTTTTTAAGTTGGAAAGAAGGCTGTGATGCACAGGATTAATAAACTACCTTGTCTCCTGCATAAACAGGGTGAATACCGAGTTGGGACCTGTCTGATGTGTGTAGAGGTGTGTTCTTATTCTGTAGCAGTCTGATGTTGTGATTTTACAAGATGTTTACAGTGTCACTGTGTTCTGGCACTGCACTCTGGTCACAGCATGGTGCTGCAAGGGTTTAATGAGTTGAAGGAGAAACCTTTCATACATGCAGTGGACACGGACACTGGAAGAATCACTCATAATCACTTATACATCAGTGCAGACTGATTTAGCCATCTTCCTTTTGATGTCGATTTAAACGTCTCACATCTTAAGCATTATTCAATTATTGCTGTGCAAGTATTTAGTTTGCTCTTGTAGATAAAATTACCAAAGTGGAAGCTGAGTGGCTCCAGAAACAGATGTTAGACACTCTTTGCACTGTCTGATTTAAATGAACCTCCTGTTTGTTCGTCTCCTCCCACCTGTGCACCGTGCACAGACCACACAGACAGGCAAAGAGAATGTCAAAGTCAGGAAAAGACCAAACGGAAAGCTGCTTGACCTGGTAGAAGAGCTGTCACAAACATATGGCCCAATATGTGTACCTGCGCATATACACATGCATATAGGTATCTATATGTATGCACAACTATGTATCTATTCATTGTCTGGACAAAATTAAATATTTATTGTGAGAAGGTGTATTGAGATACACCGATTCATTGCTATAACCTGTTCACGCTCATCATTTTGAGGTTGTGTAGAGAAGAGGAGGGACCAAGTCATTGTTTTGCAAGTCACAAATAAGTCTTAAGTCTTTGTATTGAAGTCCCAAGTCAGGCAAGAGTTTTGAGTCCTAAACAAGTCATAACATGCTCTTCAGATGTAATGTCCAAATGTAATGCCATTTTAATGACAGAAGAACCAAAACTAACTCTGATTCAGCATCCACATAATGTAGCACTGTTTGCCTCTTAGATTGATAGATAGATTGGCTCATTGGCAAGTGCTTGTATGGCTCCCCATAGTACCTGTGCCCAATACCTGTTCTCCTGGACGAAGAAGTTCGCTCAACTTTTTAATCGTGGCAGGCGCTAACACAGGCCTGGGCTTTCTTGTGTATGGCGAAGTTGTATAGAGGACTGTTGTGGGGCAGTTCCCTGTGAGGTTGAAGGCATGCTTCTGTCAGGATTTTGCCTGAGGCCTGTTGTAGTCGGCCTGCCACATTAAAAAAGGGAGGCGAACTTCTTCGTCAGGAGAGGTATTGGCACGGCACTATGGGGAAGCATTTTGGCCGTACAAGCATTTTGCCAATGAGTTAATATGTCCTCATTGCATCAGTATTGCTGCCACAAGTTTCCCAGCTGACTGATCAGTTCTCACTTCTTGCGCAGCAAAATAAAGATGGCAGCAGTTGCCTTGATGACGTCAGTCAAGTTTCATTCCATATATTCAAGGATTCATTCCATATATTCAAGAATTCATTCAATATATTCAAAGATTCATTCAATATATTCAAGGTTCATTCCATATATTCAAAGATTCATTCAATATATTCAAGAATTCATTCCATATATTCAAAGATTAATTCAATATATTCAAGAATTCATTCCATATATCCAAGGTTCATTCCATATATTCAAAGTTTCATTCAATATATTCAAAGATTAATTTCCTAAACAGCATGCCATAATATATATATATGTGTGTGTATATTATTTTATTTTTACCCTTTGGTATAATTTTTTCTACTTGTCAACTTGCTGGGAGGGAACAGCATTAATGTTCTTTGATTCAGGAAATAAGGAGAAATGGATGGCACACTTTTTAATAACATACTTTTTCATCTTTGGGTTTAGGGGAAGGTATCAACTATATTCCAGTCAAAAGTCCAAGTGAAGTCACAGGTGTCAAAGTCCAAGTCGAGTCTAAAGTTATCAAATTTGTGACTACAATCTGACATCAGAGCTAAAGCATTATGAATGCTGAACTTAAACAGTAATACATTATTTCCACCACCTATAATACTTTATAAAGCTTATTATAAGTTGTTATGTATGATTATAAATATTAACAAAAACAAAAACTGTAAATGTAATGCTAAAGATAAAGCAGCAGTAGTAGTCCTTGTTTTAGCTAACATGTCCATAAACAATTGGCTATTTCAGAGTAGATGGTTGGGGGTTCAACTTTGATCACATCCACATCTTATCCCAGCCTGCCCACGCTGATGGGATAAAAGCTGAGTGAATGGCCCCAGCCTCCCCTGGGGGTCTGCAGCCTCTCAACCCTGCATGTATCTGCTCTCCTGCCTGCTCTGAAGCTCAGATCGTGGCCTTTAAACAATGACATGGCCCCCGCACGGCCCTGCCAGACAGCATTAGTGACCTTCCACCTCCCTAGTAACTGTAAAGCCATCTGACAACTTCTGTGGAGAGAGCAGGAAACAGGGAGGACAAGACAACCACAGAGGGGGTGGCTAAAGGCTACCTGCCTTCTAAAGCTTTTGTCAGTTCTGTTTATATAGTATGGATGTACAGTATGTGAATGTGTGGAGAATATAAAAAGTCAGAGAAAGACACAAAAAGCCAGATGTTGTAAACAACAAAATCACAAAATGAAGATGTTTGTCTGTAGAAATATATGAAAAGAAGTGATTTGAAAGTTGATACACAATAGAATGCCTTATTTTCTAAATTCTAAAAGCTGTGGAGCTGTGGACAGTCTAGTCGGGAGCCTGGATCAAGGAACAGCCAGGAGACCCTTGATAAAACCTCAAGATGTGAACTAGCTAATAAGGACTCAGAAATTCAGAAATGTAGTTTGGAGGCAAGCTAGCTGCCTTTAATAAGCCATATTAGTCAAATTGTAAGCTAAGCCTCAAACTGCTCACTTGTTTCAGCTTGTGTGAAGCTGATAAGATTATCGTATTACAAGTCAACATAAAAAAAAGGTGACCTAGAAAAACACTTTGAGGAAAATGGACACATAATCACTGCAATGTGAAACAAACACATTAATGGCTCTATTAAGCTGACTTTGCAGATGCTCACTCTAGTCATCAAACTCCTCTCCCGACAGCACCCAATTAATTAACCGTCAAACTTAAGTAAACAAAAAAAGTTGAGACTCATTGTTCCACTCTGCAAGTAGCTGCAGGAATTAGTGTTGGAAGAAAAAAAAGGTTCCACAAATTAATTGAACCTACTCGAAGGGACAGCCACTCTCTCTCCTTGATTTCAAAGAGAAGCACAGTGAGGAAATAGATTTTCACACCAGCAGCGAGAACCGTTGCTTTATCAACAAGGGCAGAGCAGCCAGCTAGAACATAGAGTACTGTGGCTTCTTTAAAAAATAATGACCTTAACATTGAACAACACAAGAGTGAATATGAAAACAACTTCATGTTCATCATTTTATCTGAACTAGCTCAGATAGATGAAGAAAAAGCAGGAATAACAGCAGTTTTCTCCATACGGTTCTGTATGGAGAAAATGTTAGAAATGGAGTTACATTTTTAAGGTGAGAGGTCATCCTGTTTGTGCTTCTGCCTGAAAACTACACTGCAAATACTGACAATTGACCCTTCCTATGTTCTGCCCCTTTTCTGCTCTGTGCTCCAGTAACAGTTGGTCAAGCCTCAGTCAGAACCTCGGTCAACTTCCTCTTTTCCTGTACTTATATGCTATGTGCTGTGCTAGGCATGTCTGTGTTGAAAAGAAAACCACATTTTGAAGATGGTTTAAAGAGACATACTCTATATGTAGTCATATCTTATGTTAGCCAGCTGTTTTTCAAAGTGGGGACCAGAGCTGCCAGGGGGTGCCGGGGGGCCACAGCAAATTAGAGGGAAGATGAGAGAAATGAGAGAATTTAAATAAAATGATTACCCAATTATTATGTGTTTTTGGATAAAATATAATTTATAAGAATATAAAACATATCAAAATATATTGTAAATAAAAAATGAAAAAGCATTATCAATATCCTAGCCCGCTAGATTTTAATGATGAGGTTAACTAACCATGTAGAAAATGTAGCCACGTTTCATTGATTCACAGTTGTTTCTACAGTAGCCCAGAAGGGAAAAACCAAACACTAGCTGTAGGTAGGGGCGTTTTCGTGTCTTTCACTGCCATGCCACCGTAGTTTTTCCTTTGCACTTGGAAGGGGATGTTGAAACGAGCAGGCCAATCTGCAACTACTCTGCTAGATGCCATTAAATCCTACACACTGGTCCTTTAACCTTTCATTAAAAATGTAACAAGCTGGTGCAGAACTACAACAATCAGTTTCGATAAACACTGTAGTTCAATCTTGTTTACTGCAATTTAGAAACATTTCTAGAACCTTTCTTCCTACCAAAAACCTAAAGCCTGTCTCTCATCACCCGTTGACCGGACTATTGTAACTCACTGCTCTCAAGCATCTGCAAAAAAATCTCACTCCTGTTCACAGCTCAAGAGCATATTCCACTGATCTTGGTGTCCCTGTACTGGTTGGGAGTGGCAGTAGCTCAGTCCTTAGATACTTGGCCAGCACAGAACACAGTAAGGACTGGGGACTGCTAGCTAGAGAGGTGTCAGTTCACCTCCTGGACACCGAACCCCTAACTTCACCATTACGTGAAAGCCGATCACTCCACCATCTCTCCATGTTTGCATGTCTATCAGCCCAGTGTGTATATGATTGTCAGGCCTATTCGTGAAAAAAGAATTTCCCTATCGGGCATTAATAAAGTAAATATTCATTCTACTTCATATTGTCAGTGTTGTTGTTTGATACATTGTTATTATAAAAATATGGATTATTAGCCACTTTAAACACTGAAAATACACAAATACTACAACACTGGAAATATGTACCTTAATGTGTAAAATAAATAGTTAAAGAATAAAACAAAATGTCACAATTTAAAGCTATATAAGAAAGGGTTCATCACATGTTAGAGTTGTATAAGTGTTTCTTTATCTATCTAACCACCTACCCCAATGAAAAAATGACATTCCTACCATGTTTTGGCATGGATGATATACTATGGGTTAGATTTTGTACATGTACAACACCCAGAGACTGCTGGTGCTGAAGAAAGATGATAATAACTGCAAAGCAATATTACAAAAGAGGCAATAAAACCACAGCCTTCTCCCATGACGCTCTTTTCAATGGCGGAGAGACAACTCAGCATCTGCTACTTGTGTTGCTTTAGAAATGAGGAAGTGTACACCACAGAATCACAATGACAGGCACTGCACACCATGTACAGTAGAAAGTCTGCTCATGGTCTGGCAGACTTGTATAATCATGTGAATTTATGTTTTAATAAAACATCATGAATTTTACATTGGAGCTGCCACAGATGTGGAATTTGCCTAAATTAGTAAATGCAAGAGAGGTGCATACACTGGAAGAAGGAGAAATCTCTAAATGTGGGATGTTTGATTGCGGGTTATAGAATTCTATATTTTACCAGTGGCATTTCTGAGTTAGTGATGATGAACCTCTCCCTTGAACATTGATTGTCCAATTATAGTTGAGCAATCCTAAGAAGACAGACAGGGCTTTCAGACCTGTTAAGTGTTTATGGGGCTGTAGTAACAGCTTTTTCAAAACCAAAAACACAAGAGCAAAAGTGCAAGTGTGTTTATCGGCTCTAATGAAAACTGTCTGGCTAACCTATCAGCTGTAGTAGAAACCCAGCATTACTTCCAAGGCTAAGAGTTGGAATACCAGCAGCTAACTGCATTAGTTGTTGAAGTTCTACGTTACAAACATTCACAACAAGCATATCCACTGTGTATTGCCCCACTTCCACCAGTCCTGGACGGCATCCTGTCCTGCTCTTCATTGACTGGACCGCAGCAAAGCAGGCCCAGCCCTATAAACATTAACAGTCTGTTCCTGACTTACTGAGTGAGAGACGAGGTTACACCATTGGTCGATTGTTGGAGTTTCCCCATTGGCCATTGGTCTCTCAAAATGAATAGGAAACAGTGCTGAATTACGTCATGTGGAGGCTTTTAAAGCGAGGCGTATTTATTATTAATGAGACTCATTTGGGTCTGTGTATCATCTGTTTACTATTTCATTCAATCTGTTTTGGTTTTTGTAGGCTTTAAAAAACTTATCTCAAGGGACGAGGCTTAGTCAACTGTCAGTTTGTGTTTTTTCTAAATATGCTCCCTTTATTGACCGTAATTAATATTTGTGAGGTCATCTTTTTGTAGTAGAACAACAATATTTGAGGTGGAAAAATCTCAGTCATACAGATTCATGTGGTCCTGTTTTTCAGCATACCCTCTTATCAGTTTAAATATGTTCTAGTGATGGGAGTGTATGACCATCTTTATACTGCAGACCTGAGGATATTATTGCTGCAGTGGCAGAGGAGGAGAATCCATGCAGCCATACCAGTGTGCTGTTTTGGACTTATCTTATTCATTCATCTGAATAAAACTGTTTTACATATCATGGACATTTGGACATAGCAAACACAATGGCATGTACCAACACATCCATACCAACACAGACTCTTGCAATAGTTTGCTAAAAGGCTCTACAGATCCACTATGGCAGACAGCAAGATAAATATGAGAAAATAACGAAGGTTTCTCACTTTATTTTATCTTGAGCAAAGGCAGCCATCATATGACCAAACAGGCCTGGTTAAGAGTGGGGTATATCTTGGTAAAATGTAAAGAACATCTCTTGAAAGCCTCACAGTTTGTACTCACCCTGACAGCACACCCAGCACCAGGTTGAGCATGAAGAAGGAGCCGATGATGATGAGGGGGATGAAGTACAGCCAGTTCCAGGTGTTCCCTGAGGCATCGTTGGCCTAAACACATTAACACACAGAGACAAAGAGCAGAGGGACTGTTAATACTATTGTGTTGTTGCAGTTAAAGGATAAGGCTGTTGCCCATCTACATTTTTATTTTTGTGTCTTATTTTCTGTCTGTAGCTAAAATAGGGTCTTAAATATATTATTTCATTTTTTTAATGGCTCAGTGATTTTCTAAAACAGCTGATCACTGTAGTTTTATCCAGCATCAGTCAAAGAGTAGGGAAATAGTGCATTTGTAAGGGTCTCTTTTCAGTGGCAGATTAATACGCAATTGGCGCTCTAGTGAGTATTTTGGGCAGCAGGATGGTGTATGAGGGGCTCAGTCCAAATAAACTACAGTGTGTGTGTGTGTTTATGGCAATGGAACATGTCACCCAGTGCAACAGTGTGGCTCACATGCATGAACAACAATGGAGCTGTATGGAACAGAGGAAGAAGATCAGGCTTTGATACACAATATCCATCCTTGTTGACAGTAAGACACAGCAGAATATCACTAGACTTACCCTTTAACTTCACAAAGATATGTAAGATTCAATGTGACCTATGTTTGAAGATTAAGATAATGACTGACCTGAGAGTATATACATTACTGGTATTCACAGTAATTTGCTCCCATTCACACACAAGAGCATTAGTGAGGTTCAAACTGATGTTGGGTAATAAGGTTTGGCTCACAGTCGGAGTGCCAGTTCATCCAGAAGGTGTTGTATGGGGCTGAGGTCAGCACTCTGTGCAGGCCAATGACTTTCTTCCATACCAAACTGGGAAAACCATTTCTTTATGGAGCTGGCTTTGTGCATAGGGGCATTTTCATGTTGAAACAGTAAAGAGAAAAACACAAACTGTTGACCCAAGGTTGGAAATACACTATTGTCTAAAATAACATTGTAGTGTAGCATTAAGATTTGGAGGCAGATCTGGCCCATGCAGCCCTACTCTAAAAGTAAACAAAAGTATGTAGGCAGGAGTGGTGAGAGAATCACATTGCTTAGTGGTTCAAAGGCATTACAGCTTTGCATCCGGACGGTTTGGACATAACATCCACACCTCTAAAGACCCATAGTCACAGAAATGCTGATGGGAGCACTTATTTAAACCTATATCCATCCTCCTTCAGCTGCAAGACTTAAGAGAGAAATGAGATGGCATCATGGATATTAATCTCACTGTACTCCGTCTACTGTCACATCACTGGCTCCCATTGGAAATGCAAGACAATAAACTGGGTATTTGTGAAGAGGTGTGCTCTTGTTTGTGCGTGTGGTTTGCTGCTGGAGCAGAAATGACAGAAGCAGCAGTCACAATCTGAGCTCATGTTCTCTTTTGTGACTTCCACCCTGCCTGTAGGCTTTCTGCTGTATTACTGTTTACAGAATTCTCTACAGCGGGCACTCACGCTAAGATTATTACTTTGGGAGGTTAATGTGATTGCTGGAAATTGTCTGGCGATGCACTCATTTACTGAAACCCATTGTGATGCCTTCCTTTCATTCTGAAGCCTGTTTTAATTCCTCATTTTGCGTCCATAGATTTGCCCATTGTTTTCTCGGATAAAGGAATAGTCTCATTAGCGTTTTTTGAACTAAGCAGCAGTATAATTGTTCCTCTATTATGCAGTTTAATTAGAGGGTAAAGTGCTTACATACATTATGGCATGCAAGACTCTGAGTACAAATGACAGGAAAATAAGCAAGAACAATCAGGGAGGCAAAAATATTTATAAATATAATACTTCATTGGACTTAGTTGACTTAGAATAACCTGTACAGCTGTCTCTATTCCCTTCATTACTTGTCACCATTCTGTGGCTTTATAAAGTTGCTATGGTTAATGTGTTAGTTGCCTATTTACTGTTAGTATTTAGTCTGCGGTGGAAATATTAGCACTCATTTAGAGTTATGTTTGAGTCAAGCTGAGGGAAGTCCAATATTCACTCTCACTCTCATGCCCAGCACCACACAGCAGACAGAAAAAGTTAGAGGCTAGATACAGTTTTCCAAACCAGAGCTAAAAGGAGAGTAAATATTGGACTTACATTCATCAGTTGAACACAAACATGACTCAGATGAATGCTAATGTTGCTCTGCATCTGCTGGATGTATAAATAGGGAGCTGTTTGCTAACATGTAAGCCGTATCAACTTTCTAAGGCCATAATACTGTAAGTCAAACAATGGGCCTCATGCAGCAACATTCTCTTAAATTTCTAACAGTTTCTCCTACTTTTCTGTTCAGAGAACATAAAAGACACTGACAGATGCACTAAACATTCCTAACTATCCGAATCAGGTGTGCTGAATGATGAATCCTACTTGATCATAAAGTGGAGTTGTGTGGCCGACTGTATGGAAGCCAATTTCCTAAGTCATTATAATGACTTGCAAAATCTGTTTTTCCCATCACATTGGTGGAAATGTGGGTTATTAGCATAAGTAACAGCCACCATGTGACAGACAGACAGGCAAACATACAGACATATAACACTGGAAGAAAGTAAAAATAGAAATATCAGTAGAAAAATAGACATACCAAACACAACAAATACTTTAAAATGGCTCCATGCAGAGTATAAGAGAGTATCTAAGCATACCAGATAAATATAATAGGATATCTATAAGATATTGATAGAAAATCAAAAACAGCAATGGCAAAACATGTGATTCTGTGAATGCCGTGTGAGAGGGAACCTACGGAAGTCTGAATCATTTTTCTTTAGCCCACAAATGTAATAACCATCTTCATTACTCTGAAACAAATAATAATCTATATTTGATAATATGATATTGTGTTTTATGTTCCTCAATTTCAAACTTAGAAACTTCTTACAATTTTTGGACTGTGAAAACAAGATGTTTTTTTCTTACTTTGGTAAGAGTGATCTCTACCATTGTTAACATTTTCCTTTAAGTAAGAAAAGAGCAAAAATAGGAAAACATTGTTGAATCCCAGAAATCAGTGGGTACTAATAAAATAAGAGCTAATTGTGAACGTGAACAAAGATGAAAGAAAATGTGTTCGTATATAGCTTCCTACATGATGTTCCACTTATTGCGGAGCTCTACCGCTCCAACCCAATCTCACGCCAAAGCCTGTAATAGACCCGCCAATCCACCGGAGGATACTGTTTCAGTGTCACGTATTTCCTCAATTAGCACATGCATGTATGAAGCAGCAGTAGTATTGTTCTGTTATGACACAGTTGTTGTGTCTCCTTGTGGTCACTGTGGGAACTGCAGCATGTTAGTAGCGAGAAGAGACACGTGACCAGTTATCAGGGAGACAGTGAGCCTAATGGAGAGCGGTTTTTATTTTATCTGAGCTGATCCAGCAGCATCTGTATACATCCTATGCCTTTGGTTGCATTGTGGGTATGTATTGATTTGTTGTATTGTTATCTATGATTGTGGATGATTATTTCTGGATAAGATTACATTTTGTGAAGTTTTATGTTTAAGTTTGCCGTGAAACGGATTATGGATAATTACATTGCTCCCAGGCCCTTTAAAGTTCATGCCAAGCTGGATACAGCACGTATAGCGAGGGCAGTACAAGTATAGAGTGACAAAGTCTGCAACTGAAGGAGGTTAGCTTGATGGATGGCTCATACAAACACAGGACTTTCACCCAGGAGACCGCTGTTTGACATGTACTTTTCCAAAACCTAACCATGTAGTTTTGTTGCCTAAAACTAACCAAAGTGGACCAAACTGATTAGTGCTTCTTCAATATCAAAATACTGATTAGTGCAGCTTTAACTACGGAGCCTATTTATTTTACAAATACTCCAATACTTTAGGAAACCTTTAAATATTTCAATGTTTCAAAGGATCATCATACAGTGGAGCAGAGTACAGTGAATAACAAAAACAGGTCTGGCTTAATTAAATCCAGTCTAACTCCTGCCATACCCCCACTTAGCAGCACAGAGGATATTAGAGCAGAGCCACTGCAGATCCAACCGACAACAAAGCTAGCTTGCTGCATTGTGCCTTTAGAGAGGGCAGGACATAGACACAGGCTGCTATGATGCTTGATATATTGGCCTGCTGTTTAAAAAAAAAAAGCCCCCCAAAAAATATTGTTTCCTCAGGCCCTTATGTGACTCTGAAGCTACAATGTGAGTGTTTTAGAATACAAAGAGAAGCTAACACATGACAGTTTACTTGTCATAGCATGATTCGATTAAAATGAAATCTAGCTGATTGGATGTCAAAACACACCAAATGCAGCATGTTAGGCTGCATTATAGGAAAATATTTAAGAAAATGATTTACACATAACTTGTAGATGTGGGGTGCTGCAGTTGATGGCTCTGTGACACAGACACTCTGGGCTCACACTCACAGCAGGGTGAAGATCCACAAGGAGCTCAGTGTTGAACTGTTCCCCCTTTACCCATTCCTTCTGTTTGATTTGATGGTGCATCTTGTATCTCACTCTTCTGAGAGCACATAAATCAGAATTGGTATTAAAGAGGTTATTCTATTATTTATTTTACTTGAGTTCAGACAGGAATTGTCCATGCATGGACAATGAGCCAATGAGATGAAACAACACTGATTGTGGCAGATAAACCTAACTCCAGATGACTGAAGAATCAATTTCAGTTTAAATGACTTGTTAAGAATGATTTTCTCATGCTGAAGGGGGTCATATTGAGCCTAACTTCCTGTATCCAGGATAACGAGATTATGGTCTCTGGTGGGGCTGCAGCTGCATAGCATGGATTAGGCTGCCACAACTGGTTATGACTGTCAGCAACTTCCATTCTTCTTTGTCATTCACTACACAGGATTATCCCTCCATCTCTGGATGACTACTTGAACTTTTACTAACATTACCAGCACTTAAGGGGAGACACTACAGGTGAATAGGGTTAGAGTAACATTTTAACTCACAAAAACATCCACAGTTGATTGACCACTGTGTAGGATTTAGTTGCATCCAGTGTTGGGTTTGTCACTCCTGGGCTACTGTAAAAACAAGGCA